AAGTAATGGACCTAAAACCGAGCCTTGCGGAACACCATTAAAAGATTTAGCTACTCCTGAGTTGATACCATTAATTGAAACAAATTGTGTTCTATTACAAAGATAAGAGGAAAACCGGAGAAAAGGAATACCTCTTATACCGTAGTGTTTCAATTTTTCTAAGAGGATTGTATGCTCAACTGTATCAAATGCTTTTCTTATGTCAATAAACACTCCACACGCAAAGTGTTTATTATCGATTGCTTGTCTAATTTTCTCTGTTATTTCTATTAATGAATGAGTTGTTGAGTGTTTGTTGCGAAAACCATACTGGTGTTTGTAAATAAATTTATGTTTTTCCAAAAAATACTCGAGTCTTAGGAACATTGCTTTTTAAAATAGTTTACTTAAGTTAGAAAGAAGTGAAATAGGTCGATAATTGGAGTAGCCTAGATAAGAACCCATTTTGTGTATAGGAATTACTTTGGCTACCTTAAAAGCTTCTGAAAAAATACCATTTTTGAAAGAATTATTCATCATAGTAGATAGAGGTTTGGAGATTATGTGAGATACCAGCTTTAGTAAAAATGTTGGCAGACTATTGGGACCAAGGCTTTTATTATTTTTAAGAGTATCTTTTATGAGATTCGCCACCTCATTTTCAGTCACGGGCTCAATGAAAAAAGAATTAATGCTAGGTATTTTAAGAAAGTTGCCAAAAGCACATTTAGAGGGAACAGTATTTTTAAGTAGTTTGCCTTGAATAGTCGTAAAATAATTGTTAAGTATAATAGCAACACTGGTATGATCTGAGATGACATTTTCATTGATTTTGAGGTTAAAAGACTTAGTAGAAGTAGATGGTTTGATGTTTATGATTTCCTTAATTCCTTTCCAGGTATTGTTTACATTATTGATGTTATTATTGAAAAAAGATGCGTAGTACAATTTTTTAGAATACCGTAACAAATTACTAATTTTATTTCTGTATAACTTAAATTTAGTAAATAATATATTTTTTGTATTCACATTTTTTGATCTAGTAAATTTTTTATAGAGTATGTTTTTATTAGAAATTGATTTAAGAATACCAGAAGTTATCCAGGGTTTAGATTGAAGTTTAATTTGTTTTTTTGTTAGTTCTTTGTAGGGAGCATATCGGTCTAATATTTTTTCGAATGTTTTAAGAAAAAAATTTATAGATTCGTTTATGTTATCATCTTCTTTTATGAGAAGCTCCCAGTTAATATCGGAAATTTCTTGGATAAAAGAATCAGAATCAAATTTTTTAAAGCTTCTTTTAAACATTTTTACTTTTTTTTTAATGGGTGGGTTATTAGGAATACAGACGAATTGTGCCATGTGGTCAGAGATTGAAATTGTAAGATTACCAGAGACTATATCAGTAGGAAATGAATTCATAAAGATGTTATCAATAAGGGTTTTAGTTTTTGCAGTTACACGTGTTGGAAGAATTATGGTTGGAAATAAGGAATGAGAGCACAAAGATACAAAATAATTAGAAATGACTTGTAATTCTCTATAATTCAATAAATCTATGTTGAAATTGCCCATTAGTACAATATTTTTTGCTTCATAACTTAACTTTTCAAGGAGAGGATTAAAATGGATAGATAAAAATTCAGTGATGTTTAAAGAGGGATGCCGATATATACATCCAAAAATGGTATTACTTTTAAATGGATATATAACTTCAACAAATATAGACTCTAGAAATTTGGTGGCATAAATTTGGAGATCACTACGAACTATTTAATTAAGATTTGAATTTAGGAAAAGAAGTGCACCACCTTTTTTTGATTCTGTTGGACAGTGCTCAATGTTATATCCTTGTATGGTAATGTCAGTTATATTAGAATCATTTGCATATAAGTTAGACTCAGTAATTCCTATTACCATGGGAGGAGTATTAATGGTACCAACAAAGCTGGAGAGATCATTTATGTGAAATGGAAGAGAAGAAATATTTAGATGAAGATAAATTTCTGTACCAGGATTAATAGATTTATTTAGTTCATTAACGTCAAGGTATTTGCATTTAGTTGTTGGATTAAAAACATTGTTCATGGTTTTAAATAAGTTTTTGAGATAATCAGGGGGTTCATGAAATTTTATTTTATTAGAAGGATTCTTGCAGGAAAGAGTTGATTTAAGTTCCAGATCGGAGAGTACGCCAAATGGCATATTGTTTGATATGCAGTTAGGGCAAAACCATTCAGAAGAGTCATTGGAAAGCATACTGTAAGCATGTTTGTCAACTCAAATACATTTTGCATGAATCCAAAAGGAGCAACAATCGCATTGGATGGCTCTGTGATTATCTTTAATTTTTTTATTGCAAAACTTGCAATGGTGACAAATTTTCATGATATAGATGGTAAAGCCGTTTATAGAACAGAAAATATAGAAAATTAAAAGAGAAAATAATCAAACAATAAACAGTAAATGGATAAATAGCAACAGTAATCATTAGTAGTACGTAGTTAATTATTATCGAAATTATAAATAAAGAGTATAGATTTATAGTATTAATTAATAACTAAAATAAAATAATAAACAATAGATAAAATTAAAATAATATAAATCCATAATAAATAAATGTATAAGAATATATAATAATGATAAAGTTATAATAATGATCAAAAAATATAAAAAATTATATATAGTAAAATAATTTAAATATAATAAAATATATAACAAAACTTCCTAAATAGATAATCTAATGATAAATAAATAAATAATATGTGATAATACAACTTAGATAGATAACGGGAAAACCTTATTAACTAGAACTAATGAATATAATTAAAGATAAATAAATAATTATCTTGTTTAAAGTTGCCAAATTAACTGAACATCCTGCTGATGCACTGGCATTAGCTTTAATAAAAAAAAACCTCTAAGGAGCCTATCTCATCAAAAATAATACAAATCCTGATAAAGTTACAAAGATCGAAATAAATATTCTAATAAAATGAAAACCAAAACTGCTTTGAGCTTAAAAATTCAGTTTTGTTTTATTTATTCAATTGTATTAGAAACATCTGCTCCAACTCCTTTATAGAGTATGTTTAATCATACTCTGAAAAGGATACTAACTTTTACTGAATATCAAGACTCTATGAGAGTCTTCGCTGAAAGTCGGTGAACGTTTTTTTTTTTTTGTATTTTGAAAAATTGAGAAATAAAAAAACGATGAAATAATAAAAAAAAATGATAAAAAAATAATGTTAAACTGGTTGGATTTGAACAACGACAATGCACTTCAGAAACTCTGCAATATTAGTTTTAACCTTATTTAAGAAACGCAGTAATACGCGTTGTTAGTAAATAAAATTAAAAAAAAAAACCGCGTATAGAAAAGCCAAGAAACTACTTTAAAATAGAAAAGCCTAGAAAATGACGTAGTTCGACTAATAATATTAAATTAGCGTATTAATATTTTCATATTATAACTGTTATTCTAAATATATCATTGTCATCAGCATATTGCTCAATATATAACATGATAAAAAATCAAATAATAAACTAACTTAAAAAAAAAAAACAAGTTTTAATTTTTGGATCCCAATAACTTTGATATTGATGTATTTCATGATTATTAATATTATTATTATTATTTCTTTTATAAATAAATATAATAAATAGGTATTTATGAGATTTAAAAAAAAAAGATTTATTTTTCGAGTTGATTTTGGATGCAGAAGGCAACTTCTGAGATAAAGCAAATTTCTGAGATTTTGCACTATAAGTTTTGATGGCAATTTTTAATTTGAGGTTAGTGACTTCAAGACGCTTGAGGTTTGACTTGAACTTAGGTGCTTGTTTTTTATGATAGCTGCACGTTTCTTTATGGTCGAAAGTTTCACGAATTAAAAGCTAGAGATATCGCCTAGGCCCCCCCCCCCTGTTAATATTTGATAGTTTTATTTTAATTATCAAGATTACAAATACTGTTTATGTAAAAATAAATAAAAAAGTCGCTTTTTTTAAATCATAATATGCATTCCAAAGTTTTATAAAATTTAGCAAACAAACTATGATTGTTTTACCCCCTCCCCCCACCCCGCCTTCCTAAAAAACAAAACAAGTAACTTTCATTTAAATAGTGGCAATGCCATAGTTGCAAAAACAATTTTAAAAATTTATAAAAACAACTTATAAACTTTAACAATCTTGAAAATAAAACAAACAAGTAACAAATACAGTAATAATAACCAAATAATATCAAATTAATAATAAAAATTCGTTAATAACTAAATATATAATCATTCTGTAAGAGAGAAAAAGTTTTTAACAATTTGGAATATAGTTTTTTTTAGCATTGGTCACTTAAACAAAGTCTTTTTTTGATTTCATTACAGGCATTTTTTATTGATTTTGCAACTGAGTTTGTACAAAACCATCTCTTTTACTCCAACCATAATCTGACTCAACTGCCTCAGTAAATAATTTAACTGCCCTCTCACAACTTTGGGTATTCAATGAATATAAAGGAAGCTCTAGGAAAGAAACTGTGTCACCCAAGTTAAAAGAACCTTAAGATCTCTGCATTCTCAGGTTTAAAATCATGTTTGCTAATTTATAAAAAGCAAGCATCTCATGCCACAAGTAAACCATCGACTCTGAGACAATCTACCATAGATTTACATTCATTCAAATCAAGATTACTTTTAATATTGATCAAGATTTACTTTTGATATCTGCTTCAATATCCAAATTTAATAGCAAATAAACAAAATGTTCTTGACGAATCTGGATTTTAAAGCTTCTTCCCGTTATCGATTGAGCCTTGCTTGATCGATTGACTTGCTAAAGTTTTTGAACCTAAACTTGGCAGTTTTTTAAAAATCATAAAAACAGGGGAGGGGGAGTAGCGCTTTGTAATAGTATATAATAGCAAAGAAAGTTAAGTTATTGAATTATTTTAAGTCATAATTGATCTTTTTTATTTTTTCTGTTAAACAAGACCTAATGTTTTTTAAATATTATTATTTTAGGTTTTTTGTCTCCTGTGAACGGCAGTAGAGGTAGTATTTTTTTTGTGAATATTTCAGTAAAGTTTAATTTGTTTTTATATATATGTTTTTATTTTATTTTAATCTAAACGTTTTACTTCTTAAAATTTAATAGTTAAACGCAATCCATGTGATGAAAAGCCAAATGGAAATTATTTAATACACGACGTTTTTAAATACCTGGTTTGTAAAGATAGGGCATCAAGTTACATGAAATGTCAAGATAACTTTGTATTTTCACCTGATGAAAAACATTGCGTTAATATATCTACTCAATCTCAAAAGAGTTTTTGTAAGTCTCGACCAAATGGCAATTACAATGACCCTTGGAACTGTCATAAGTTTATTGTATGCTCTCATGGTTCAAGTTATCCGTATGAATGTCAAAAACTGGTTTTTAATCCATATATTGATCAATGTGTTTATGAAAATGATTATCCCTGTTATCAAATATTAGGTATTGTTAGCTTCTTTATAATATATATATATATATATATATATATATATATATATATATATATATATATATATATATATATATATATATATATATATATAAATATGCATGCATATGTTTAATATATAAATATACTTTCTAATATAAATTTCACTACTAACAAGACTGCAATCAATCATTATTTAAAAAATTATAACAATTTAAAAAAATGCAGAAGGCGGTAATAAATGAGGAGGAGGGAAATTCAAAAAACCTTTTTTTTTTTGCCCTAAAAAATGTAATAAAGAAAAACATCCAGAACCCAAAAGGAAAACTTATTGCTTAAGTCATATCTCAATAAAACTCTCTGTGGCTTGTACTCCAGACAATATGGCTGTCATAGTTCTAACAAAAGCGTTCTCTTTTCCATTTTCTTTATGTTATTTATTATGTGTGTGACAGAATCTTGCTTTCCCGCTTGCTGAAAAATGGCATCTGCGGTTCTAATTTTTAAAAACTCTGAAGAATATTTTGACCCCTCCAGATATCATACGATCAGTTTTTTTTTCTGTTATTAGCAAGATCTTTGATCAACAGATTTCTAGCATCCCATCTTTAATAAAATAATTTACTATCAGAGAATCAATACGGTTTTCGATCTTCTCACTCTACAGAAGACTTGCTGTTAACTGCCGTGAAAGATTTTATTGGAAGCTTGGAGTAGCTTGTAAATTTTAACTCCAACAAAATTCACTTATTTACTACAAACAACAATACTGTCAACATTTTTATATTGATGAATGGCAACCCTCTCACTTAGTCCTCTACTTTATGTCTTCTTGGAATATTGTTTACTACTAAGCTTTAATGGAAATAATATATACAATCAATAGCTAAGTTAGTATCTGCTTAGGTTGCTTCTTCATCCTTGCTATTATCTTACTCCTAATTCTACCTCTACTAATCTCTTATTTGTCTTTGTATGGAATACTGTTGTCATATTTAGGCTGATTCTTCTACTAATGCTATTTCTCTTCTAGACAAGGTCTAAAAATGCGTTGCAAAGATTGACCCCGTATATCTGCTAAGCTTAAGCCTCTCTTCCATCATTGTAAAGTTGCATCTTTTTCTCTTTTCTACAAATACCATCATGGTCGCTGCTAAAAGGAACTATCAACTTTGCTTCCATCAACTAAAACGCGTTCTTGCTTGACTCATCATTCAGGAAAGTCTCATTCTTTTACTGTATCTGTCCCTGCATGCTCTATATACTTTTATCCATCAGGTTTTTTTCCCCACACTTCAGCCTTTTAAAACTCTCTCCCATCTTCATGTTTTTCTGACTCATACAAACTACAACTTTTCAAGCCTTCTGTAACCCGTTTCCTTGCTCTTTAACTAGATTGTTTGTTTTCTAGTAACTACCACCTTAAAAATGGTTGCTTGCAGCCTTGCTAGGAGTAAATTAAAATGAATTAAAAATAAAAAAAGTAAAAGAATAAAAAAAATTAATAATAATAATAATAATAATAATAAATATCCCTATGATAAAGCTGGCCTATTGTATTTATGAGAAAACTTTAATAGTTGATTTTACAATGGATTTATATATGAGTTCTAAAATTTCTGAAGATATCAATAACAACAATATTTGAGTAAAGATTGTAATTGCATAGCAAAAGTCTCAAAAAAGTTAGAGACAATTTACAAATAATTTCTACTTAATAATTATTGTTAATAATAAAATCAAGAATGTGAAGTCGGAGTTTGGAGTCTAGAAGAACCCAGAGTCCCTCTTTTTAGTTCCCGGAGTCGGGAGTCTTGGAGACCCTTAAAATCAATAAGAGTTTGCATCCCTGAATACAGCATGTATTTCAGCAGTTTTTAATAGGAATACTTGTAGTTTGTAATAAAATGTAAATTATTTTTTTTAGTTTGTAAAAAGTTTGCTAGTTTGATGACATGATAAAAAAATGGGATTGATTAATTGACGTGCTTCTTGCGAGTAAAACTACAAGCTAACCAGGTTTAGAAGATCAGGCTAAAGAATGTAGATAGTAAAACAAATATTGTAGAACAAAAATTGTAGAAATGATACAAAGGTTTTTGAACAAAGACCATTGAGCATAGAACGAAGATCAAAGATCGAAAAACAAATAACAAAGATAATTGCGCGTAGGCAAAAAATGTAAAACAGTTATAAATCTAAATGGTATGTAAATCTTAAATAGTTATGGCTGATAAGTTTGAATGATGATGCAGTAAAAATGAAAGATAATTTGGACAAAACAAAAGAAAATTAATAAACTGGCAATAATGTTTTCATAAAATTGATAAAATACCAAAATCAATGTTTGTGTTATCTTTGAGGATCAAGGTGTGTTGCAGGTTATACCTGCAATTATATTGCAGGAATCTTGAGAATGCTCATGGATTTGCAAAAAACTACAAAGAGTGTAATTGAAAGCGTATTCAATTTTACTATAAAAAATAATTATCTGTCTTAGATGTTGAACAACATGAAAGAACAGGACAAAAAGGTGATAAGCAAAAGTAAATATAGGAGTAGTTAAAATATTTAATTAAACCTCTCACGACAAAAATATTTAAAAAAGCAATTATTTAAATCCTTTAACAGTGTAATGATCTAATTGATTTAGTCTTGTGTTTTTTAAAGCTAATTTTCTGATCGCATTTTCATCCATTTTCTCAAGCAATACATAATCCTGCTTTCTAATATGTCAAAATTTCACTCATTTATTAAGATTTTTTATTCAAGAATTCCACAAAATCAATAATACTTTGATACAAGTGATATCTTTTGCGTCTCTAGCTAACTTTTGACAGATTAAATCAAATTATTTTTTTATCATTACTGCCATATTATTAAATAAATAAGACCAACCACCTAATTCTAGACCTGCTAAGTTACATGTTTTAGTTAATGGTCTATTCATTTAATCCAATATGGATTTTACTTACAACATTTAGTGAAATATAAAAAGACAAACATCTTTTATTGTTTGCAACAAAATTAGAACCTTTTATATATCAAGCATAAAATATTGCCCAGTTATTGTCAAACCTTTATTAGTACTTTCATTATTAGGGCATTATTAAATTCTTTAATTTGTGATTAAGTATTTTTGAAAAATTAGCCCTATTTTTCATAGTTTTAATTTTCCTGAAAATCGACACAAAAAGGAAATAGGTGAAGTCAACTATTTCATTTTTGTCCCAAAACTAGCTTATGATATGTATGCAGAGAAATTACTTGGAAGATCAATAGTACTGAACAAAGAGTATTTGTTCTATATTAAAGTTTTTTTTTCAGCCTTTTTGAGACTTTTTTGAGAATGTTTGCCTATAAATTCTCATACAATACAGTAGCTGGAGGTAGTTTACATTATACCAAAAGTTCACAATTTTTATTAAATTACTACCCTTAAATCTCTACCCTTCCCAAAAAAGACCCCAAAAGTAAAGTATGGTTTTATATCAAAGTTTACTTCGCTTTTGCTTTAAAGAAAATCTTATTATGCAGCAATAATATTTCTAACCAATATAATTTTGTAACAATCATCATTTAAAACAGAAAATATATTTTAGACTCAAATTCAATTTGTATTTCTTGCACTATAACTATATACATTATATACTGCAGTATAAAACCATTTTATATATCCTGTTGTATAGAAAACAAGCGAGTGCAGTAAATACATAAGCTTCCAGAAAAGGTTTTTTCAAAATCTAAGGATGACCAGGTAAAAAAAAGTTAATGAAGCTGAGCTACTATTTTTTTTATTGCATTATTAAACATTTTTAATCATTTCTAATAATGAAATTTGTAATAATGTGTACCTCTACAAAAAAACCATTTCCAAAAAATCTTCACATTCAAATGTTTAAAAATAATGACAATAGTACCAGTTCAGTTTCTATTGCTGTTAACGAAGCTAATTTGTGTTTTATTTTAGAGTTTGAATAACTGACGCATAAAAAATCATATTTCAAAAAAGTTTTATTAGTACTTCAATACTTTTTTTTTATTGGGAACACTATAAAGGTTATATTGTATTGGTATAAGACTGGTGAAGTTATATAAAGGTTTTACCACAAATTATATTATAAAGTTAAATTGCTTCAACTCTGAATATTAAAAAAAAGTTAAATGTTTATAACACAGGGTTAATTGTTAATTGTTAATTGTTCAAAACGCATGTCATGTATATAAAGAATAAATCTCTGTAACCCTGAAATAAAATAAAAAAACAATGCAGGAAAAAAAAAAGACTGAATCTTGTTATAGTTTTTGAAACCATATCCCTAAAGATCTTAATTTGTATTTAAAAAGTTGTACCAGAAATAAAGCCTATAATAATGTCTTTTTCTGTAATCATATGAGAGCAATAGGTTAACAATCTTACAAAGTTAACATTAAAATGTAATGCATAATATTCCAAAAAAAGCTTTTTTGGAATTGTTATTGTAATGTAATATTAAATTTCCAGCCCTTGGAATTAAAAAAAATAAGAATTTTTCAACTATTTTGTGTCGACATCAAGTTGACACAAAATTTTAACACAAAGATTTCACCATAAAACAAGGTTGGCAAAAAATCTCAGGCCTAAGGCACTTTTAGGTCAGTATTGCTGAATGCCAACCCTATTTCTGAGGGCTATTGTTTTTTAGTAAGGCTTAAAAAATTTTATAGTTAAAAAGTTTAAATAAATAAATGTGCTTATGTAGATAGTAAATATAATAAACAAAGTTAAATCTTTACTGTTTAAAATTAATTTTTAAGTTAAAAATGTTGAAGTTTAAAATTCCTCTTTAACAAAATCATTTAATTTAAACTTGTTTTTTGTTTTATAAAATGCAGCTGTTAAGCAAGATCCTTGTAATGGAAAAAGAGATGGAAATTATCCTATTCAAGATGTTTTTAAATACATATTTTGCAAAGATGGTGTGTCATATAGCAAAACATGCCAAGATAACTTTGTATATTGGCCTGGCGCAAATCAATGTGTTAATATATCAAGTCAATCTAAAAGTAATTTTTGTAAATCTCGACCAGATGGTGATTATAATGATCCTTGGAATTGTCATAAATTTTTCAAATGTTTTCAAGAATATAGTTATCAGTTTGATTGTCAAAACCTGGTTTTTAATCCATATACTGACCAATGTGTTTATAAAAAAGATTATGTTTGCCGTCAAGTATCAGGTACTTGTTATTTATCCTTTGAATATATTTGTGTTTGAGAAAAACTTTTGTGTCATTTATAAATATTACTCTAAGATTTTTAAAAATCATGCAAGTTTTAAAATAATTTGAAAAATAAATAGTTTAAAAACTTTATAATCATTTGTTCCAAAAACGTCAGTCTCAGCAATTACTTAATAATATTCAATGAAAAGCTATATTTACAGTGTTATATTATTTTAAATTTTAATCAAAATTTATTTTTATACCCTGAAATACTATAAAAAATACTATAGTAACTAAATACTAAAGGTAAAGATACCAAAACTTTTTATATCATTAAAATACTGTTGAAAGAATAAATAATAAGCAAAAGTTTTTAAAAATATTTTGAAAAACTTTTTATTGGATATTAAAAATCGGCATCAAAAAAAAGAAAATTGCTTTCAAACTGTAATTTACACTGAATATCAATAATTTTAAAATTGGATTTTTCAAGAGATTTATTCAAAGCAGTCATTTTTTTTATTGATAATAGTAAAACAACACTTAAACAAGTAAGTTTTTAGTATATAACATTGATATATTAAATGTAAACACAATAAATTATATAATTAAATAGAGTTTTAGTACTTGCAGATCTGCAAGTACAAGAACTCTATACAATTTATTGTGTCAACATTTAATATATCAATATGAATTTGATATAGATATCAATATGAATCTAATATCAATGAATATCTGAATGTGAATGTAACAGTAATATTTTGTATATAAAATCTTTTTTAATTTTACTCGAGTCACAATTAAAAAAGATTTTAAATACAAACGATCACTGTTAGATTTACGAAAAAATATTTTTATAAAATATTCAGACTTGCATTGAATCTTTAATGAATTTAAATTTGTTCCGATGTTTTTTTCTTTCACGAAGTTGCTATTATATATGCATGACAACTAGTTTTAAAAAATGGTTCCATATATTATAAAATAATTTATCAATTTTAGTTAAAGATAACCCACAGTGTATTAATAGTTTGCATTTTTCAAATGTACAAGTTTTGCAAAATTAAAGACAAATTAATTACATTTTTATTATTTCTACAAACATTGTCTCTACATTTGTTACATATATTAGTTGACAACTTGCATTTGTATCTGATGAACTTTAAAAGTTTGTCAGAAGCAACATCTGTATTGGTGTTTGTTTTTAATTTTATTTTTTCAATCCTAATTGAAAAAGATGCTTCATGAGTTATAGGTTGATAGTAAATTCCACAGTTCTACTGTTTGTAGAAAGTAGATTTTCTGGTTTTACATCATTATGTTGTTTGCCAATTTTCAGCTTTTTTCCGTTATTTTTATAGTTCCTATTACCTCCCTATTTTCTCTTTTTTGAAATGCATTTGAAGCAATTTCATTTGCAAATAAAATCCTTTTATCTTTAATTAACCTTTGAAATGCAGAAATGTTTTGATTTAGATATTTTTTGATTCTTTCTATAGAAACAAACTATTGATATTGCCAACTCATTTAATAACTTAGTTATTTACAAGAGATTGCACAATTTTGCTAGTTTTTAAAATAATGTTTAGTTCTTTTATATCAATGCTGCAACATTTTACCTAAAAGGTCATTCATTTTGTTTTTCTTTCTAAAAAAATGAATCAGCTTACAGAGCTTACAGAGCTTACAGAGCTTGAAGTTTTGTTGAGTAAAGTAAAAATGAATTTTCCCTTGAAATTTCAGCTTGATAACTTTTTTTTTGAGATTTCTGCTGTTTTTACATAAAATACATTTCAATATAAAACTTATTATGTATTTCCAAATTTGCCCAATGAATTTCCAAATTGTACCTCATAATTGTGAACTTTGGACAAATAATTTATTAAAACGTTTTAATAACATAAACACAAAAAGTTTACAGTTCTATTTGTGTTAATAAGGAAATAAATATATACATATTTTAAAGTTCACAGCCCGGAGGTAACCAATTGTTTTAAGATGGTAGTCCTCCTATCAAATATTTTGATGTTAAATTGGTGTGTTGGTTAGAGATGATTTGGTTTATAAACACTTTTAAAATGCCACCAAAAAATTGACACGTGAATATGCTAGAAAAAAGTCAAACAAAAAATGCAAGAAGAGATCATAAAATAAAAAAAAAAATTAGACGAGAAAGATAAATTTTAAATAATAATCTTGAAGGAAGGATAAATGAATTAGAAAATAAATTTGGTTGACATAAATCTATATAATTGGAACCGGTTCCATATGGGGAAACAAAAAATAGTAATATTATTTTTTTAGTGTTAAGTTAGCAAATCATGATAATGTTGACAAATGTTTCACACTAGTGTTTTACTGATAAAAATATGGTAAAAGATATTTTTGACTCAATAAATGCAGTTAGGCATAAAATAAAAAAAAGTTGTTAGACTCAAAACAAGAGACACATAAAAAATACCACCAGTTATCATTGAATTAGACCATTTAAAATACCACGAGTTATCATTGAATTAGACTATTAATCAGACAAAATAAATATTTTAAAAGCTGCATGCAATAATATAAGCATGATCAACGACAGCTGTTTTGACTCAGAATCTGAAGGAGATCTTAAATAAAAAAAGCTACGCTTTGAAGTTAAATTGTTAAATGTAAGCCTAAATCATATTACAATTCATACTGCGCTATAAGAAATGTATGTAACAATGAAACTTCACTAAAAAAATAAATTTGATTTTTTTTTTTTAAACGACAGAGCATAACCCTGAGATATTCATTGTAACTGAAATTTAGTTTAATATATCAAGGGCTTTAAATGTACCCAGATATAATGTTTTCACAACAATCGATATACAGCTAACTCAACTAAATATCATGGTTGGAACTATTTATGTTAAAAATAAATCGTCGCTTATGCTCCATATGACCTAGCATCTAATGGAATGAGAGTTGAAAAAGTCTGGTATATCATTAAAACAGAAAATGAGAATATCATAATTGGTAGTGTACATCGTCTGCCAGATGCTACAGAACTTACACAAAAAAAATCAATAACATAATTAATTAAGAAGTATAGCTGAGAAAAACATTGATTGCAACAAATATTCAGATTTACTCTTAGCTGGAGACCTCAATTACCAAATATAAAATGGAATGATTATATCCAAATAGTGTTAAAGAAAACAGGCACAAGTATTTTTGGACAATTTAAATGACTAATATTCTAATAACGAAATTTGATTGAAAGTTCTATATTGGCATTTTGAGTGGCCCACAGTAGTTTTGCTCATTGGTTACTTAGTGGACCATTAGTCGCACGAATTATGAATTATATAACAATTATATAATTGTTAGATAATTCGTGATACTTATTTTTGATATGATTAGGTATATATATATACCTTGGTGCACAAAGATATAGCTTTGAAACCATGGATTGACAAATACATAAAGAGTAAAATCTGACTAAAAAAAATTTAAGGAACAAATTAATATCAAATAACTTCAAGTTACCCATTTTGGATCAACAACACATAATGCAAAGTAGATTAGTTAAAAACACTTTAGTTATTTTTTTTGTAACTTATAGTTCATTTTTTGAAGATCTATTTGCTTAAGAATATGTAACTATTCTAGGAATTAAAAAACTATTCTTCATTATCTGCAGTTAGATTCAAAAGCTAAAACGTATTGAGTACAAAAAAAGAATCAGTAAATCATCAGAATAATATTGCTGAGTAAACAACAACTACAAGAACTCTGGAAATTATAATTATTTTCATAATTATAAAAATAATCATAAATTATGAAATTATTTCCCGGTTGTTTCCAGAGTTTTGGTAATTACACAATGAAAAAATTTTCTCAACAGCAGCATTCTACGTTGAGATAGCAAAGATATATAGAATATAATAATTTTTTCAAATACAAAAACAATTCGTTTTGAAAAATCAAGCGGTATGTTGTATAAACTTTTTTTGAATTTTTGAAGTTACAAAACTAGTTTCATTAATAAAGAGTCTTTCAAATAATTTTCTGGCAATTAGAATCTCTTCAGATTTTTGAGTATACAGTATCTGCATAAGGTTTGTTTTGATAAATTTTGCATTAACCATTATGTCAAAATTTGATAGTCAGATTGAAAATAGATTGATAGTCAAATCAATAATTCATCAATAACATTAAACCACTTCTTAATTTAATCAACAACTGTTGAATAAAACGTCAAAAATTCCTTTTCTAGTTAATGAGCTGAATCAGAACCTTCAATTTTTTGTAGCTTAGATAGAGCTATGGCTCATAAAATTTTCTTTTGAATCCATTCAGTGAAAATTTGTGACAGATTTTTGACAAATTCTATCAATTCAGAAAGCATAAAATCTTTCTTTATAGTATATATAAGTATCGGCAACGTTTGCTGAAACACCTGCAATGAGTTAAGTAGAAACCAAATCTAGATTTTATAGAAATATATAAGAAAGGTTTCTCCGAAACTTTTTGAATGTCCGTCAATAAAACTAATGATTTTAAGTCATTTTTTAACTTCTAAATTTGTTCAACCATGGAAGAAGGCTTAACCGCCCCGTACGATAATACATTAGAACAAATAAATTCCAGAAGTTCACAAAATCTTTTTGTCGTAGCGTAGATCCATTGAAATAGCACAAGGTTTTTAACAATAACAATTTAATTAGACTTGTCAAGCCTCCCCCATTTGGCGGGAGTCTCCCAAATTTTAAAGAACAATTTATCTCCTTCCCACATTTGTAAAAAATTAGAAAACCCCCTTTTTTCTTATAAGCAAGTTTTATCTAGATTTCTCTTTTTTTTTTCATTTTTAAATGCTTTATCGGTTTGATTTGTATTTTGGCTTGTCTAATTTGTGTTCTAGTAGTATTCCTATCTGCCATAGAGAATGTGTCAATTGAAAAAAAAAAGGATTAGTTTATATCAGACGCCCTAGGTGTACTTCTTACTCCAAAGACGATAATGGAAATATATGATAAAATTTTGTCATACATCGTTGTGGGTCAATATCATAAAATTTCCCTCATACTGATTTTTAAAACTTGACAGCCCTGTTCAATATCAATTGAAAAACTTTCATAATAATGAAAGTTTTTGACTTCTTTATGTAGAATGTAAGCTGGGGAGCTTTAAACTTTAACAGGAGCCAAACAGGGTGGTCAACACCCTGTTCGGCTCCACCAAAGTTCTCCAGGCAAGTTTGACTATTCCAACATATAAATTTCAATCCTTCATGCAAAAAATACTGAACAATGACAGAAAAAAAAAAAAAATTTTAAATTCAATGAATCTGTTTTAATAGAGATTGGCTCGCTGCCTGATTCAGACAAAAGATTCTCAATTGCTTTTGATGCCAATATGATTGTAATGATTGCATGCGTTTTTGATTGAGGAGTCCAAGGTTTCTGAGTTTTCAAATCAGTAAAAACAGTTCAAATCAAATGATTTGTACAATCTTCAGTTTAAAATAATAATCAGCAAACAGCGGCATGATATGCAAATGCTCCTGCTGATGCAGCCATTTTTCTTGTTGCTAGTGAATCATTATTGTGAAAGAAAATTCATATTCCGGCAGAGGGCATTTTGCTTTTCACATTTGGTTTTCGATTTGATTAAGTTCTTTTGATTTGTTTTTATTTATTTACTTTTTTCCTTCTATGTTCTTTTTCTTTTTAAATTTGTTCTTATTTCTTTTTAATTTGTACTGTTCTCTTTAAAAAAGGGCACATAGAGGCTCTAATGCCTGCTCTGGCCTTAAGCTACATTGGTAAGAAAGGCAAAATTTATCTTCCTAGTTTTTTATTTTCAACATCTTCACTTCTAACGAGGCTGCAAACAACCACTATTAGAGTTAGAAGTTACTGCAAGAGAATAGATGAGGTGTATTGAACAAGATAACAATTAGCAGGCAACTTAAAAGATTAAAAATTATGTAAATCAAGAAAAAAAAAGGAAGGGAGCTGATTCAAAAGAACTGATGTTTGAGGAAAAAAAACTGAGCAAATAAAAATTTTTGGAGCACTTAGGAACAATCACAGTAAAAAGCTGAGACTTAATTGAATGACAAGTAACATAAGAATGTGTTCAGTAGATGACACAAGAGAATCTTTAGAGCAGTGCCTATTATAGTATTTATAGAAAAGAGAAAGAGAAGCAACACTACGACTATGTGATAATGGTTGGAAGTTGGCTGCAAGAGCAAAACTAACTATGTTTACAATGCGTTTTTGCATCTTGTCTAGAGATAGGTCATCATGGAAAGATCCACTCCATATATGGTTTAAATGTTAAATCAGTTTTCTAAACAGTTAAATGTTTTTCTTTATTGTTTTACAATAAATCTATTTTCTTGAAACTTGAGTAGAAGAAAACAACCAAAAACATAGATATTTAAATGCTTCATGAATGAAACTCATATAATCAAGCTTAAAAACTAAAATCATTACTATTGCTTTTTATTTTAAAATTTTTTTCAAGTTGCAAATTTTAAGACTCTTAACTCAAGGTTTATAAAACAACAATTTTATTATCCTTGTAATGTTTCGTTTTTGTAATTTGAAAATTTAACATTTTATATAAAAAAATTGTATTATTGTTGGTGTGTCATGATTGGTGAATAAAAAGATTTGTCAACATATATTTTTTATGTAGGTTTACAGGATAAAAAAGAAATCGTCGAAGAGCAAGATGACAATGATGATGTTAACGATGAGCAAGGTTTAAAATTTTTTTTAACTTTTATTCTATTTTACCTAGTAACAATTACCTAGTAACAATTAGAGAAAGGTTATAAATTTAAACTTTTGTTTAACTTTCATTCTATTATCCTAACAATAAGAGAAACTTCCGCATTCAAACTAAACTTCATTAAGGGCACTTTTTCTCTTGTATACCACTACATCGGTTATAAAAATAGGTCTTGTATACCTCAAAATTTTTTTTTGTAAAGAAATTAAGTTTGTTCTTTCTTTTTTCTACACATTCCACATTTTGTTTCCGATGATTTCTGCTTTCTCATTATACATATTTTACAATAAATAAATTTTGCGTTATTTATGTTTATTTTGAGATCTTTTGCTTTCAATTCATCTTTTCAACAATAAACTCTTAGTACTTTATTTGTCTCTGCAATCATCTTTTGTTGCTCTGTTGAAATTTTTTTCAGATCAAGTAGATTCTATCTACTGATCTTTTTCGTTTTCTAAAACTTTTTCTTAAACTTGCAGCAAAATAAATACTGCTTCTAGTGTTCTCTGGTATAAAATATAAAACTATTTTATTTTATTAGCAGTATTCTTTGATAAAATATTTATTACATAAACAAGCTGATTTATTACTTGAAATAAACTAAATTTCATTATAACTCAATAGCAATGATAACCAAAATGTAACATCATTGGAAAACAACAACACAATAGTTTCTTTGTGCAAACCATTTTGAAAAACTGTTAATTGGTAAAAAATTGTTTTAGCTCCTTTTGATCAATAATTAAATTAAATATTGATCAAAAATTGCTAAAATTCACTGTTCTCAACTTATCTGATAGGGTGCTAAAATTTTTTCTCATTTAACACTGTGTTTCATTGATAAAGACTCATCATATATATATATATATATATATATATATATATATATATATATATATATATATATATATATATATATATATATATATATATATATATATATATATATATATATATATATATATATATATATATATATATATATATATATATATATAAGAAAAAGACAAACAAGAGATTTATAGAGGAAGAGAATGGAATCAAGAGAGAAAGTGGAGCGCAATAAAGAGAGCATTCTTAGCAGAAATTTGCAAAATTTCTGCTAAAAATGCTCTCTTTATTGAAAATCTAACAAAGCAAAAAGAATACTCAGTGAGAGGGTTGCTGTTTATTAATTTAGGAATGCTGACAGTATTACAATAGTTATTTGCACTAAATAACTATTCTATAGTAGATATGTTTTTGTTGTTAATTCACAAGCCACTGTAAGCCCTAATCTGTTACAGAAGTGAAATCAAGTTCAAGATCGGCTGCATCTTCTAAGAGGTCAAAAAAAGATGAATTTTTGTCAAGACAGGAGAGTATAAAGTTGAGTCATCAGCAAATAGAGCCACTATTATTGTTATGAAGATCATTAATTTAGATAGAAACAAAACAGTAACAAGTATAAAACCATGAAATAACCAATAAATTATTGGAAATGAAGAATGATAAAAATGAATAAAAATAAAAATAGAAGAAATAAATAAAAACTCATAATAAATTTTTAACAGTAAATATAATAATGAAATATTAATAACAAAATAAAAAGTTTAATTATAAATAAAAATAAAATAAAATATGAAAATAAAAAATAGCAATAGTAATGGATAATTAAAATGAAACAAATTGAAAATAACATTTTATACTTTATGTTTGTAGTGTTTTTTTTACACGCTCTATGTGTAGACATAGAGCGTGTAAAAAAGAGAGACATTACATGGTACCACGAGACATTACATGGTACCAGAAGTTGAATGAAGAGTTATACAAAATGATTTTGGAAAATTGTTTACATATATTAAGAATAAAGAAAATGGAATACTTATAACCAAAGCCAAACAAAATGGACTCCAATGAATCCAGTACTGCTGTTACATAGAAAAATGGAAACAAAAAGCAGAAATGTCAAAAAATCCGGAGAAGAAAAAATGCTCGACTTTCTTATTTATTATCGGTGAACAAAGAGAAAAAACATTTAACACATGGGCTTGGAATTAAATAGAAAATGACAATGGTGAAATTGATAACATTACAATAAAAGAACTGTTGGAATGATAAAAAGAATTCTGTTTACTGAAGTGAAATCTAGTTTTGGAAAGAAGAAAGTTTTTCTTACGAAAACAAGATTTTTTTTGAGACTGATTTAAATAATCTGGCTTAAACTCGTGAATTCGAAAGTTTACAAGATGGTCTTATATTATACAAAATAATTGGCTGAATCAAATCAGACAAAGTCCAAAAAGCAAAACAGTTTGGGTTGAATCAAATAAACAAAAACGGAAGCAAATGAATCATGGTTTAAATACAAAAAAACAACAAATGCAATCAAGAAATGCAGTAGAATACATGAACTAAAAATTTGTCCGGCATTTAGTAAACATGCCACAAATATAACGAAAAAATGATTGGGTTGTTTCTCAAAAATATACATGAAAGTTACGCTGTTGACTACTATGCTGAATCTATATCATCTGGTAAAATGAATTGTAAAAAAGAAGCTTTAATAATCTTTAAAATTATTAATAAATTGGTACATAGAAAAGTCGACACTGTAGCCGAAGTTTATGTTATACCAAAAAGAGTTTACAGTCAAATAACATCACGTGGTAATCTCACTTAATTGGATATTAAACTATGTGGTTTGGGAGGGAATTACATTCCAGTACTTGGAACATCTAAGATAATTTGTTATTACCAAAATTATTTAGTTATTATTTGGTAATTGAAAGATTACATAACATCCAATCGTAAACAGTGATAAAAAAAACTAAAAATGATCTTTTTCAAATTTGGCATTTTTTTGGGAAATTTAGTAAAGAGTAGGAGTCTAAACATATAAAAAGTAGCCCGTAATATCAACAATCGAACGGAATGGCTGAGAGACATGTGCAAATAGCAAAAAACTTGCTAACCAAAGCAAAAAGACCAAATCAAGATCTGTACGTAGCTCTAATAGAAGTAAAAAATACTCCTGTTGACGGTTTTGCATCACCTGCTCAACTCATCAGTGAATAAAGATTGAGATCAATACTTCCAACATCTCCGTCACTAATTCAAGTAAATCTAATTGACATAATTAAATTTAAAAACAACCATGAAAAAATTCAAAATTTACAGACAAATTATTACGACAAAATTGCGAAAACATTGGAAAACATGAGCAAGACAAGGTGAGCGAAACAGTGTTCATATCCATGATGGAATTAAATGGCAACCAGGAAAATTTGGTGAGAACAAACGACTACGAAGTTTTAATGTAAAAACCTAATATGGAAATGTTATTAGAAGAAACAGAAAACATCTTCTAAAAACAAAGGAAAAATTAGACTATAATGTTAATTTATCAGATGATGACAGCAATACTAATGAATCAAAAGACGTGTTTATGGGTAAAAAAACTGTCAAAAAATACAAACAGTTATCTAAATACAAATCAAGCTGAATCAATAAACCGCAACATTACAATCACAAGATCATTTGTAAAAGAAGAAAGGTGTAATGATTGTTATGAAAACAAATCACTCTGGACAATTTCTAACAATTGTTCAAAATAAACAATTAGCGATTGCGGAATAAGTAGTTGTTTTTAGAGAATTTCACGGAGAATGGTTGCTAAAGTATTCCCTAAGAGACTAATTCCTCACGAGGAATTATTGCTTAAAAGCCGTAGCGCTAACCTCAATGTTGATTGAAATGACAACACGAAAAGACTACACACAGTTAATATAGTAATTAGTTGTAACAATTTAATATATAGATATAGAAATAAATATTGAACAAATATTAAATCAGTTTTCTTTCTTATCATAAATAAGAGGACGAAACACTTTTTGAATCAATAACTTACTTAGGTAATATATTCCATAAAAGTACAATCTTGTTTGTAAAAAATTTAAATCTCATTCGGTTTCTTGTGAACTGTTTCAACAGTCTTAACTGAGAGCCTCTAACATTATTTGCAGGTTCTTGTGCTGGTAGAGAATGAGGTAGAGCGTTAACATGAAACTAATTAACTTCATTGAACCCCTTGGCTGCTTTAAAATATTGTATTGAATCCCAACTTTCACTTCTTTGATGTAAAGTTTGAGTTTGAGATTGAGGTAAGCTAGACGGGCTTTGTAATTTTTAACTGCTAGCACAAGATTAGTTGTTCTTTTCTAGCACCTTTAAGTATTTTTTTTTTGAAAAGATTTTAAACAAATGCGTAATATTCCAAATGAAACAAATTCCAACAAAGGTAACAATCCAAGTTCCAACAAAGGTAACAAAGAATACAATCTAACAAAAATAGACCTGTCCAAGATTTAAATGTTTGTTCAAGTATGGCTAAGACTATATTTGCTTTGTTTATTGCATGTCTGGTGTGGTAATTCTACTTTAAATTATTGTTAGAAGTTACAACAAAATTTCTCTCTCTTTTTTTGTTGTTGCAAGATTAAAAACAACTCTAATATTGTATTTTATAGGTAAATAATTGTTTTCGAAATTTTTGCTCGGGTTTTCGTAGAGTTTCATATTTTTACATTTCTCAATGTTGAAGGAAATTTACCATAGCAAGGGCCATTCTATGAGGGCACCCAGGTCATTTTAAACTGAAATGATATTCATACTATTTTTAATTATAGCAACAAGTTTGCTATCATCTGCAAAAAGCTTACGAAAATTCTTGACTATTTTTAGCATATTATTTATGTATAGAAAAACAATAGTGGATCAAGAACTGATCCTTGTGGTACCCCACTTATTACCTTTGACCAATCAGAATACACACACATTAAGATTACGTGTTGCCGTTTATTTTTTAAAAAATCAGAAACCCAAGCTAGAAGAAATTTTACATTAAACCCATTACCTATTAAGTTTTAGATTTAGTAGTTTGTGGCTTACTCTTTCAAATGTTTTGGAGAGTCCAGTAAGTTTATAAAAGTCCAGACAGAAATAAAATTATGATTTAGCGTCTTTGTAATTATACAAATACATGTTGTTGAATAAAGAGTAGTTTGAGTGTAGTAAGGTGCTCGGTCATGTATTCTCTGACTATTTTCTTCATGATCTTGTTTCCAATTGAAAGCGGTTTAGATTTGTCTAAACTCTAGAGCATAGTGACTCGTCAAGCATGCATTACACGCATTGAAATACTTTCTTCTTATTTTAAAACTGCCTAATTTACTAATTTTTTAACTAATTTGCTTTTCAATTTTTATTTTGCGACACAATGATTGCAAAAAGTGACTAACGGAGCCGTCCAGTTTTGTAGACCTGAGAGATGTGATAATAAAAACAGTTAGAAGATGGTGTCGTTAAATAAAAAATAAAAATCATAAGAAAATATAAAATGAGTGATAAGACTTTTGTGAAGGTGAAGAACGAAGCCCCCTCCTACTGCATATACATAATCAGGATCATCTATTAAAATTATGTGAAGCTAAACTTGAAAGCTGGTTTGTTAACTACTTGTAATAGAAAACAGTCGTTTATAGTTTCTAAAAATTTTAGGCTTGAAATTTGTCTTTTACCGAAACACTTGAGTTAAAATTTCAGAAATATTGAAAATTTTCAAAAATATTGAAAAGTTAAAATTTCAGAAATATTGAAAAGTTATTTTATAATTAATGGGTAAACTTTTATGTCTTATTTAGAAAGTTGTTATGGACAATATTATGGTAAAATATTGTGAAGTAGATTATAAAAGTTTTAGAAAACCCCCCTTTAAAAAATTTCTTTTTTTTTGGCATTTTGTTGAGTTTTTTAAATATAATTTCAAGTAGCACCTATGATAATTTCTTTTTAAAATTTTTTAAAACTGTTATTATTAGGGTTTATTAAATTTATTTATTTGATTATTAAATTTTCTAAAACTGTTATTATTAATACAAATATAGAAAGATCAAATGTAATTTAAAGTTTGCGTACAAAGACAATTTTAAAATCATCTTCGTATGCAAATTTTAAATTACATTTGTGGCACGTTTGACTAAATGCCGGATAGATTTTTGGTTCATCTATGTGAACCATTATTCATTTGTTTCCAGTTTTTTTTATATGATTTAACTCAGTCTGTTTTGCTTTTTAACTTTTTTTGTTGCTTTTTTTACAGTTAAATATGCTCCTTTTTGAAGTAGATTATTTTCGACATTGTCTGATTTGATTCAGCTAATTATTTTGTATAATAGAAGATGATCTTAAATATTTTCAAATTCACATGTCAGATTATTTAAATCAGTAACTGAAAAATCAAATGATTCATTGACATTTTGATATCGTCAGAAAAACTTTCTTCTTTCCAAAGTAAAACAGAATTCTTTGAATCTTTCAAACAGTTCTTTAACCTTGATGTCATCAATTTCACCATCGTCATTTTCTATTTTATTTCAAGTCCATGTGTTGAATATTTCTCTTCCTTTTTCACCGATAATAAATAAGAAAGTCAAGCATTTTTCTTCAGATTTATTTGACTTTGCAGCTTTTTGGTACAACTGCATAGTTCGTTTCCATTTTTCCTTTTTGTCAAGTCCTTTTTGTTCAGCTTTGGTAAAATGTGTTGCATTTTCTTTTCTTTTTTTACAATAATTTCTAACAATTTTTCAGAATAACGATTAGCGATTGCACAATAAGTAATTATAATATATATGTATAATATCATAATATATATGTATGTATTCCATTTTTATATTTTACATTAAAATATTTTTCATATTTTTACAAATAATAATAATATGTGCATATATATAAATCCATATAAAATTATTCATTAAGTGTTTTCTTTGAATAGGCTTTGATGAAGAAGAAGTTATTAGAAGTGATATTGAAAAAGAAATTTTGGATGATCTTGAGGATATTGATGTAGAATTAGATGATAGCTTTCAAGGTTATTTATTCTTTTTTAAATTTTTCTTATAATTGAAACGCTCTTTAATTAATGGACATTTTTTAGCTCTTATAATAAGGCATTATCGTAAATAACATTTGAATGTACCATTTAAAATGACAAAACATACAAGTCAAACTAACTAAATAAAACAAAATAAATACACACAATATAAAATAAAACTGATAAATAAATCTACTCTAAAAATTCTAAAATAGATCAAGTTCAGATAAGCTCATTAAAGATTCGCAAGAAGATTATAAAATAAACTTTTTTTGCTGCCATGTTGCACGGTTGAAGGTGTTAAAGATTCTCATAATTAAGAGTTCCAAAATCTTTTTTGGAATTAGTGAATTAAAAAAAATATTACAGTGACATCTTTCTTGATATTTTCATTAAAATAGTCATACTTTATTGGTGCAGAATTAACATGACTATGATATTAGGGGGATTCCCCTTAAAATCATTAAAAAAAAAAAAAAATTTAGTATGACTGTATTTAGACATAAAAATTACTATAGATTTCATTTATGTAACTTGTATTTCATAAAAATCATTCTAAAGTGCAAAAGTTTTAGGTTTTTTAATGGTGAGTTGATGTTTTGATTTATCGAAAGTGTAATTTTTTCGTCATATTTGAAAAAAAAAAAGCTGATGTAAAATGCCTAACTCGGGTTAGAATGCTTCATTCTATTATACTTCTTGTTCAACTAAGCGAAAGTAAGCGAGATTAGGAGACAAAAACACACTCAGATTAGTGTTATTTAATTTAACAAGAATGCAAAAAAGTTGTAAAACGTCAAACTAATCTTGTTAAAAAAAGGTGTAGATCTTTTCCAAATTAAAAAATTATTTACTTATGAAGAAGAAGTTGTTGTTGATAGTGTAATAAAGAATCTACTCCAATTGTAAATATTTTAATAATGACACTGTGATTCACTGTCTGAGTGATGAAAATAAAAATGACGCTTCTGATAATATAGTAAATACTCCATTCAAAAATACGACAATTTCAAAAATCATCACATTCAAAAATACGACAATTTGATGTAGTTGAATCTTCTTATAATACTCTACTGTCTGGATATATAGAATTATAGATATAGGAGTGTTATCTGTTATTTTCAAAGAACTCATTTGTCCAATTTGCTTCAATAAAGACTCTCTTATGTTGTCTGACAACTTAAAAGATCGACATGGACTTGCCTCTTTCTTAGTTTTAAAATGTTCAGGTTGTTTATTTCGTAAAAATTTTTGTACTTTAAAAAAAAGTGGTAAGCAGGGGTACGACATAAATAAGCGAGCTATTTACACAATGCGATCGCACGGCTGTTTCACTCAAGCGAGCTTGACGTCACAAGAATTTTTGTGTTAAAAAAAAAAGAACGTATTTCCGCATAAAAAGTGTAAAAACTCACTAACTTAAAAATAATAGTATTTTTTTTCGCTTTTATCTTCAAGTTAAAAAAATATAAAAGAACTATCTATCTTCTTTAAATAAATATTTACATTAAGCGAAATAAACATTTCATAGTTATTATTTTTTATTTATTAGTTTATTTTATTTATTATATTATTTTATATTATATTATATTATTTATATTATATTATTATATTTTATATTATATTATTATATTATATTATATTATTATATTATTATTTTATATTATATTATTATATTATATTATATTATTATATTATTATTTATATTATATTATATTATATTATTTATTATATTATTTTATTATATTTATTTATTAGTTATTATTTTGAGATCAGCGGTATAAATAAATAAACTTTGGCGGGTTTTTTTTCTCGAGGCTAATCTACAAGGAGACTTCAATAAAAACTGTTTTAGTTAATTTTTAACAATTAAGTAAGGTTTTTTTATTTTAATAATAGTCAAACAGCGAGTGTGTTTGATAATAACTATCAGAAATATATTTTTCTGATTTTTTTTTAATAAAAAGTAACAACAAATTACTAAAATTTAGTCAAGCTCTTCATTTGTTGCGTTTTTTTATAAACTAAAAGAAGTTTTTTTACTATTGTATTAAATGAGGTATGATGAAACATTTTATTGTTGTTTTTATTCTTTTTCCAAAACAAAATTATCTTAAATATTTTAAAAGTTATAAATGTTTTAGTAACGCCCCCTAAGTAAAAAAAAAACAAGAAGTCATAAAGCTCACTCTGAAACAGCAGTGTGTTGTTGGGTCATGGTCACGCAGAACTTGAAAAATTCACTTCTTTAATGAATATTCCTCCGCCAATGACTAGAAATAACATGGCAAGCTTGCTAAAACAATCTCTAAAGTTGTGAAAAAAGTAGCAGTAGAAACTATGTGTGATGCTGCTGCAGAAATCAGGCACGATTCGAATACTGATATTATTGATACTGGTGTTTCATGTGATGGAACATTGTAACGACGAGATTTTTCATCATATAATGGCGTAATGACTGCAATATCTATTAATAGTGGAAAGGTATTGGACGTAGAACCAATCAGTAGAGTTTGTAAAGCTTGTAATTTAATGGAATCAAAAAAGAAAAGTGAACCTTTACATTTTGCTGAGTGGAGAAACGTACATAAGTGTGCATATGACTACAAAAGGTCCGCTGGGGGTATGGAGCCAGTAGGTATAAAAAAATTATTTGAACGTTCTATTACAGAACGCAAGCTTCTTTATGTAAACTATTTAGGTGATGGGAACATTAAGAGCTATATAAATGTTATGAATGCCTACCCTGGTTTGGAAGTAAAAAAACTTGAGCGTGTTGGACATTATCAAAAACGTATAGGTACAAGATTAAGAAAATTGAAGAAAAAAACTAAAAACCTTAGTGGTAGAGGTAAATTAACAGATACGACAATTGATTGGTTGCAAAGTTATTTTGTTATTGCTATTAGAGCTAATGTAGGAGATTTAGCATCTATGAAAGCTGGTACTCTGGCATCACTTTATAATGTTGCCTCCAACAAGGACAATAATCTACATTTTCCACATTGCCTAGTCGGAGCTGATAGTTGGTGCAAGTGTAATTTAGATAAAGCCAATGGTGCAAATACTTATAAACCTGGACCAGATTTACCAATAGCTATTGTTCATAAAATCAAACCAATTTTTGCAAAACTCAGTGCTGACCAACATTTGGAAAATTGCTTACATGGTAAGACACAAAATATTAATGAAAGTTTTAATGGTACTATCTGGAAGCGTTTACCTAAAATGAAATTTATATCATTCAATCAATTAGAATTTGGATTTTATAATGCATTGGTCGAAAAGCCTCGATTTTAGTTTATGAATCTTTGGACATAATTCCAGGAGTATATACTCTTAAAGGTTGTAAAAATTTAAATTATAAACGACTGTCACGTTCCAAATACAGAATTATTGATTAAAACAAGTTGAGACAAAAAATTATTTGTGGCAAAAAACATAACAAAAATGATAAAAAAAAAGAGAAAGAAGGGAAGTTGTATGAAGCAGGAGGTTTCTAATACTTTTTATTAGATATTTTAAATATAGTATGTGTTTTACTTAAAATTTTAAAGTTATATGTGCTAATTTTTTTTTTCTTTTTGCGTTTTCTGAAAATAGTCTCTTTTCACACGCCGGCCGTTCTATCTCAAGAACTGTTTTACCAATTTTGATGAAATTTTCTGGAGTTGTTTCTATGATAATAAACTGTGGTTTAAAACAAACAGTTTTTTAAATTGAGGTTTAGATTTTTTTATTTTTAATATTTTGAATAAAAAATATTTTGGCCATCTTTAAATGTGCCCACATCGCTCAGATTTTTAGTTACAGGAAAATGACGCTATTAAAACACCCTTTGACTTTATGTGAAACATTTGGTGAAAGCTTTTTAAGAGATCTTGCACGGTTATTTAGTTTTTACGGCTGGTGTGAATGCATTTTTTGCCCATTTTAATGTGTTTTATGTGGTTACTATGGCAACCAAAAACCATTTTGTATTTTTTTTCAAGGATTTTGTTAATTCATATTATATTGATGTTTTGTATTCTTGATTTTGTTTAAAATGTTTAATACTTCTGTTTAGGGGGGGGGGGGGGGGGGCTTCCCCCTTAAGATTCTCATTAATCTTAATTATAAATTCACTAATTCTAAAATCTTTTTTGGAATTAGTGAATTTACAAAACCTATTAGAGTGACATCTTTTTTAATATTGTCATTAAAATAGTCATGTTTTATTGGTGCAGAATTAACATGACTGCACTATTATTTTTTTTACATTTAAATCATTTGATAATGTTGTCCAAATCAATAGTTTTCATCAAACAACTTACACAAGCTTTGTTTTCATCTGTGTAAATGTTGAAAGTAGCTGATTAAAAAATAACGAAAAACATTGGTCCTAAAACAAAATTTTTTAGAAATTTTTTGGTAACATTGACTGTCAGAAATTGAAGTTTCAAGTAATATACGCTCCTTGGGCAGTGATGTAAAAACACCAGTAAATAAAAATTGATCAACCTGCAGACCAATTAGAGTCATATGCCACAGAGCAAGTTGTTGATTGGTTAATTTTCTTAATAAAATATTCAAGCTGTGTACCAATATCCCAATAGCATGATCTTTAGATTTCAAAAAAACTGAAGTTGCTAACATGGAATGATTTATGCCTTTAGACACATTTTGCTACCCAAAGGTTAAGCAGCGATGATAACCAAATTTTCCTGTCAACAATATTATCAAAGATAATATTGTTGACAGGAAAATCAGTCTCTACATGATTATCAGTCTCTACATGATATATCTCAGTTTAATTATAAAAATTGATTTTAGTACATGTACAGGGAATTTGCTAAAACACTAACACTAAATTTAAAGGGCAGAGAAATTGTTAATTTGCTCTGTGGCTGCATGTCACAAAGCAAATTAAAAATTTTCTCTGTGGCATGCAGCTCTATTTGGTTTATCAAATGATTGATAATTTTGTTAGAGATTTGTTTTTGCACAATTATTACTTAACCGTTTAGCAGATATTTCCAGTTACCCATAAATGTACACCATGAAGCTGATTGTCTGTAGGTCGATCAATTTTTTTTTTACTGGTGTTTTTACATCACTGCTCTTAAGAATAAAGTATAATTTTCAAATCAAAAGCTTATTTCTCAACTTTTTTATTAAACTTTGCGGAAATCAAAAAAAGTTGACCTAACTTTTCTTGACTTTGCAAAAGTCTTCAATAGAGTTCCACATTTGCTGCTAAATCTTGAAATGTATGGTATGAACAGCTAATTTCTAAACTTGGATAAAATATTTTTGAAAAACTGCAAGGAACGTACATTTCTTGGAACTTCTGATTCTGACTAAGTCAGTGTAACTAAAAAATTTCTTGAAAATTCTGTTTTATGACTGATGCTTTTTGTTTTTTTTATTAATGACTTATTAATTCATACCAAATCAGCTATCATACCAAATCAGCTATTTTCAATAAGTACACAGATAAAAACAAACAATAAAAACAAAGCTCGTATAAGTTGTTTGATGAAAATTATCAATCTGGACCTAAGATCAATATTCTGTTATCGAATTTAATTATAATTTTTAGCATTAATCAGCATGCTAAAAGAAAATCATTTAGTAGACAATCTTTTTTCCACAATTAAAAGCAAAATAGATTTTGATTTTAAATACAGGCTCGTGTTAAGCCATTGCCACTGATTTGTGTTTTGTAATGCACACTGTGCGCAGCAACACAAAAAAATTTACTGCAATTTTTACAATGAATAACTTAGCTGGCCAACTGCATCAGCTGTCATGCACAACATCTGAACGAGACCTAGGTGTTGTTATAACTGAAAATCTGAAGATTAAAAAATGGCTGCATCAGCTGACACTTTATATTTGGGTACAATAATAATGCAAAACTTTAACCTCAAAAAGCTTTCTTAAGCCTGTAATTTTGGGAATGACAGGCTTAAGAAAGCTTTTTGAGGTTGAAGTTTTGAATTATGTTATACTTCATACGTTTGCCCTCACTTAGAATTTGCTGTACAAGCCATCACCATTTTTAGCTTAAGACAGCCAAACTCGGGAAAGTTTAACAACGAGCCACAAAACATATTGCAAGCTTAAACCACGTGCCCTTTATTCAGAGACTATCAAGAATTAACTCGACAACGCTAATGCAACGATAAAAAACAGGAGACCTTTTTGAGCAATACAAAACTATCAGCAAAATTAAAATAATTAACTTCTCAGTCCCTCAGCTTCCACCAAACACCGAGTCTTTAAATTACAGTCTTTGACTTCGTGGACACACAAAGCAACTAAAAGCACAATTTGTGCAGAAAGAAGCAACTTGCTCACCAACCGTGTTGTCAAAAAACGAAATATTTTAACTGTAAATGCGGTGGACTATAACATGAACAATTTCAAATACGAACTTTCTTTGTCCCGGCGTCTTAACTTTAGCTGAAATCTAAAAACTATATTTTCATCACAGAGTAACCTAATGTGCCGCTCATCAACTTAGAAATTTTGTTTACCACGAATAAACCCAACAAAAAAACAATTTTGACGACTTGATTATAGCGTGCACTATAATTAAGAACAAATTCTTATCCAAACAAATTTAGTGAAGGACTTTGCTAAGTTATTTCAATAACAAATTCAAAAAAAATTCTGCAAATTATTTTTTCCTTCACAAAAATAGCGTTAAAACTTACGTACAGCAATTTTGATTTCAAAAAAAATTTCTGGGAGTCATTGCCGAGGACCCTCGTAGGGAAATGGGTTTCTACATCAATATGGCATATGGGCTCCACCTGGGGAAAACCCGGCCCTTGACTATCAAATGACAGAGTATTAAAATTAGTTTTATTTCTCAAAATTTAGGTCTTTAAAATCTCAAATGACTCAAAGTCAAAGACAAGAATTTAATCTGGAGAATGTTACTGAACGGACGTTACTGAACCAACGTTACTGAACGGACGTTACTGAACCAACGTTACTAAACACTCTGTATGTTAAGTTAGGCTGTTTCAGTAACCTATTGTTTAGAAAATAATTTAAATTATTTTTCAGATAATTATTTGAAAATTTTGTATTAATTGTTGAAATCATAATGAATTTCAATATAACATGTAATAAGTTTTTTTAATTAAAAAAAATCTAAAATTCAATACAAAAAAAAAAAAAAAAAAAGAATCAAAACTAAACAAAAATAATAAACAAAAATATATCAGAAATTATTAAAAAAACATAATCATTACAAAGTTTATTGTTAAGAACAACATATTGAACTTTACCCAAATCAATATTGTTTTCTATTTAATAAAAAAAGCTGTTAATGAGCTGTATTGTTCTGGAAAAATTTAATTTATTGTTTTGTTGAAAATATATTTTTGAGTGGCATTTTTTATTTAGATGATGATGTTGAAAACGAAATTATTGAAGATCACATGGACGACGATAATACACGAGATGACGATAATACACAAGATTACTTATAAAGTTTAAAAAAATTTCATTTTAGCATATCTGCCATTATATTATTTAATCTAATTTTCATTCTAATTTATTATAAAAATTGATTGTAAGTAAAATAACAATTAATTTAAAAATAATTAAAAAATTTAAAATAGAAATAAATTCATTAGAAAAACTTCTAGTTATATTTTTTTATTTATTTTATGTTTTTATAAGTTTTTATGTTTTTATAAGTTTTTATGTTTTTATAAGTTTTTATGTTTTTATAAGTTTGATTTGACTTATAAAAAACATACAAAACTGTCATGTCTGTAAAAACGTTCACCGTAAATCGAATACTGATACCATATCTGAGCTGGTTCTTCTAATGATGGTCTTTTTCTTCTAGACAAGGTCCATAAGTGGTTTGTAAAGAGAGTTTGATCTGCCAAGCTTAAGAAACTCACTCATCATCGCAAGGTTTATTTTCTTTTCTAGAAAAAAAAATCGTGGTATTTGCTTAAAGGAATTATTATCTATAGTTCCATCAACCAAAATTCACTCTCGCAACACTTATCATTCAGCCATGTCTCATCAAAAAATCAAACAATTTTTTTAGTTTTTCAATGAACTTTATTTTTGCAAAAAAAAAAAAAATTACTTCCAATGCATTTGGAAAAATGAAAAATCGATGGGTCTAGGAGAACACATTACTAAAAAAAATCAATGATTACAATATTACAAAAAACCTTAACAATCATTAACTCTAACCACTGCAACCGTGGCGCATTGGTTAGAGATGTTGCTCAGAACCAAGAGCTCCGAGGTTCTATGCCGGGTCTTGCTGATAAACGACAATGGTATGAAAGAAAGCGTAAATATTCGAGTTAAATGCTCTTTTATTATGTGCTCTATGATGAGCCCATATGTTACTTTTATATATAGCTTTTTTATAGGTGTTTGATAAAGCTAAACCTTGAATTATAAACTTTTACATTAAGCTTCTGACACATTTTTATTTACTTGAGTTTGATGCTGTTGTTGTTGTTGTTGTTGCAGGTGCTGTTGGAATTATGCATACTTCTTATATATGAACACTCGTTATGTAAAATAAGTTAAAATACAAACTAACATAAAAGTATTTTCTTATATCGAATAATTAAAGAAAAAAAAGTGTAAGAAATATAAATAAGCGGAAAATTTAACTAAATACGTCTATTAATTCAAATAAATACTATTTAAATATATTTATGTAAATGTTATGTTTCGTATTGTTTAAATTTATTTGAAAAGCTTTATAGAGACTATACGATTCACATTTTCATCAATGACAATGTTCTAAAGGCAAAGTCTTCTATATCAAATCGGTTTTTTTAAGTTCTTGGCTTATGTTAATTAAAGACGGAAAAGATTTTATAAAAAATTAAGTTAATTAAGAATTCTTAAAGCGTGTCATTTAATAAATAAATGTAACAAGTTTGAAACAGGTTTTAAGCATACGCAGTGAATCCCAGCAGAAAACCCAGCAGTGGCGGTTTTAGTATAGGGGTGGTGGGGCAAACAGCCCTCCCACGCCCCCTAAAACAATCAAACAGCGCCCCCTAAAACATAAACAAAGAAAAAAATTGTGAACTCAAACTACCAATGAAAAACAAAATAAAAAGAATAAAAATTAGTGCAAATGGAAAGAGTGAAAGAATTATTTTAAAACAGAGATTTTAAAATATTTCCCTTCGAAACATTGATATTAAACTATGAAAAGAAAAATATTGATATTAAACTTTGCAGAGGACAGGCATATGATGGTGCTTATGTATTTTTTTGAATTAAAAATGGTCATCAGACTTGAATAAAAGCACTTTCACCAAATGCTATCTATGTTCATTGTTTTGCTCATGTTTTTAATTTGGTGACCATCAAAACAATGTCTGTAAACAGCGATGTCCAGATGTTTTTAGGCACAACTGAAAAATTGTACAAGTGCCTTACATCTAGTTTACGACTTCATATTCTCCAAGAGCACCAGAAACGTCTATAGTATTGGACAAAACATTTGCAACCAACATTGAACAATGCTAAAAAGTGTTCCTAATTTTACATGTCTTAAAAACGAAACGAACTATACTACCACAGCAAACAGTTCAGGAGTCTGGAGTCATAGCATGCCATAACATCAGCAATAAGCTGACAGGTGACAGCATACAGGCAGAATTTAGTTGACAAATGCCATTTTGCAGCGAACAAAACAAGTACAATTTTTTTGGTTTGTTTCATTTTCTTAAGTCTGGTCCGTGTCAACGTCACGGAAATTGTTTAATAATTAAAGGAAGTATCCAGAGGTTTCCAGAAGTATGCAAAAGCTGCCAAAAGTTTCTAGAAGAAGCATATGGAAACATCCAGAAGCATCCAAAAGTATCCAGAAACATTCAGAAGCATCCAGACGCATCCAGAAGCTTCCGGAAGCATCGAAAAGAAGCATCTAGAATCTTCCAGAACAGGTTCACACAGGTTTATTTTACTATATAAGAGACATGTAAACCGACATGTAACTCAGTCAGTATATGGGAGTCAATCAGTCAGTATTATCAAGACAGTTTATCGAAGTGAGTTTTATCGAAGAACATCAATACAAGAGGTGAAGTACAACAAGCGTTTCATTACATCAATACAGTCCACATCCAACCAAGACGTTGTGTTCCACAGAGCATTATTGTATCATCACAAGGTAAATGTATCACGGTAAGCCTTGAGAAGCGTGATTATTTATTTTTATTATTTTTATGACTTCAAGTGCAAAAATGGCTCCCGACAGTCTTGGATTGGAATTAAGAAAAAAAATTATTGGCTATTATGTAAGTGGAATGTCACAAAAAAGTATTTATGATTAATATCGCGTGAAAAAATGTTCCAAATATCGTTCTACGGGGAAGTTGGCAGCAGATAACAAAAGTGGAAGATTACGTTCCACCACTTCTAGAGAGGATTCTATGATCTTTAGATCCGTCAAGAAAGATCCCTGGAGCTGCCTGTATCGGACCGAACAATCAAACAAAGTGCTGTTGAAGCCGGATTGTTTTCTCGACGCTTTGCAAAGAAACCGCTGATTTCACTAAAGAACCATAAGAAAAGACTCATGTTTGCACATCTCATATTGACTGGAATGTGCAGAAATAGAAAACTGTCCTGTTCAGTGATGAATCGAATTTCAAAATCATTGGGAGCAATGGCATTTGTCGTGTACGTCGACCGGCCGGAAAACGCCTTGATTTACGTTACTGCCATAAGACCGTGAAGCATGGTGGAGGCAATTTAATGATTTGGGGGTGTTTTTCTGCTAATGGTCTAGGTCTAATACATCGAATCGATGGAATAATGGACCGTTTCATGTATAAAAATATTCTGAAAAATGTTATGTTACTTCATGGTGAATGGAATATGCCAATAAAATGGGTTTTTCAGCAAGACAAGGATCCGAAACACACTGCAAAAGTAGTCAAGCAGTGCTTTTAAGACAACCATCTATTGGTGATGGATTGGCCGCCTCAATCTCCGTATCTCAACACTATCGAGAACCTGTAGGAGATCATCAACCGCAGAATTAGTTGTGAATGTGTTTGTAATAAGGATCAACTGTTTGAAAAAATCTAAAAGGCCTTGGTAGCGATTTCACAAGGTTTCATTGATCACCTTATCAAACCTATGCCTCAAAGATGCAAGGCTGTGATTGATGACAAGGATTCGCCACGAAATATTGATAGCAAAATACAGCTTGGTCAACATTTTGTGGAGTTGCACTTGTTTTGTCTAGTAGGAAATCAACTTTTTTTAATACTTTTGAATAATTTATTAATTATCGTGTACAAATAATGAACTTTGTGATGAATAAAACTTGAAAAACGTTGTCTCTAAACAATTACATAGTTATTCTCTAAATTAAAAAAATGCAGCACTTTTATATAAAGAAACTAAATTAGCATTATTTGGTTGCACTTGTTTTGTCTAATACTTATATAGATAACAGTAGACAGTTTAACAGTAGACACTCTGAAACGACTTTCTGATACAAGATGAGCAAGTACAAAGCATGCAGTTGATGCTGATGTTGAATTTTTTTCAGCTTCTCTAGCCACTCTAGAAAATATAAATCTAGGAGAATCTAAAGAACATTTAGAAAATGTTAGAGCAGAAGCTATTATCAGTTTTAATAAAAAAAACATTCATTTGTTTTTCTAATGTTATTTTTACTCAAAATTGTTAATTAATCTTTTTGTGTTATATAACTATTTGCAACAAGAAGATATAAATGCTTTATTTTCAAAACAGTTGATCGATGTTTCAAAAAAAAAGGTTTGTAGATCTGAGAAACGATGAAGTTTTTAAATTTCTGCATTTAGCAGTCAAATCATTCATTTGTGAAAAATGTGTCAAACTAGATGTAGAAAATGAATTTAAAGAAAACTCGTCTTTCTTTAAATTCAGTTAGCCTAACATCCAGTCGAAAAAAACGCATAACTGGAGAGCAGTGGAGAGATGAAAGAGTTGATGATTCAACTACACGTCTAAAATATGAATCATATTTTACCGTTTTTGATACAATTAAATAAACGATTTCACAACTTTAGTAGCACAGTTACAAATTTTGGTTACCTTGATCCGTCAAAATTATCTGAGGAAAATAAATTCATTTATATTTTCTTGTCAAATTTATTGCAACGACGTAAATACTGAAGAAGCAGTCGTAGAGTATGAGAATTTCAACGATGTGTATGCATCGATATTCCCATCACTGACAAGTGACACACAATTGAAAGATGCACTTTAGTTCTTGATTGAGAAACAGATAGCACCCTGTCTCCCTAACTTGTCTATACTTTACAAAATCTACTTGACTCTTCCGTTACATCTGATAATGTTGAAAGAAGTTTCAGTAAACTAAAGATTACAAAAAATTAATTAAGATCAAAAATGACAAACGAACGTCTTTCTGGATTAGCATTAATTTCTATTAAACGTGAGCTTGCTGAAAACATTGACTTTGACCTGTCGATAAATCGTTTTGCTTCAATGAA